CATCACCTCATCCTGGTCCGAACACTGACAGCAAAGCTCATCAGATGCGATTGGCCTCGCTTTAGGTGCACTGTCAGTCAAGTGGCCCATTCAGTGGGCTCGCTCCCCTTTCACAAGCCTTCGGCTGCTATCTGCCAAAAGCAAACATGTGAAACACAAGACCAGAGCCAATACTCGGAACTTCAAATACATAAATCACACCTGCAGCATAAATAGAATCAGTGAGTCACAAGCTTTCAATAGACACCTCACTTGGCCCTCTTTGTGCAAGATTTAGTGCTAACATAGAACAGTGGGTGCAACAGTGATCTGTACGTTCATCTCACAATCCAATGTCACACTGGTGGAATTCCATTGGGCTGAGCCGAGCACTTCCTATGACATATATTTAAACTTTTTTCTAAAAGCAAAGGAAAAGATGCAGTGGCTTCTCTAAAACACCCAGGGGTGGTGGTCTCCGGACCCCCCGGTAACCTCTAGGCTAGTGTTTGGGAAACTGCTTCCAATGTGGAAACCTGGGCTTGATCTCCACTTGGCCTGATATGGAGACTTGAATTTGGGTCTCCTATACCCTATATAGTGCCAAGTCTCTGGACAGCACCTCCTCCCCTGTCTCTCCGTTTTAGCATCTGGCCCAAAGAATCAGAATGTGGCATATGAACACAGGTCTGTGCCTATCTCTGAGTCTGGGGTAAGCCGCATCATCTGTAATACTTGCTCCATTCTCATACCATGGAAGCGCCAAACTGGGGACCATCTATTTTGAGCCGTGCTTGTGGTCAGACTGACTATAAACGTCGTGATCATTTCCTATCCTATCTTGGCGGGGGCATCCTGTCACCCTTGCGGGTGAGAGGACAGAATGGAATGGGGAGTCTTACGGCGCAAGAGCTCAGAGCTGTGAACAAACCGTTTCCTGAGCCTTTGCTGGCTCTTCGCATCTCTGCTCTCAGCATGACAGCAACATGAGAGCAGCTGCCCACTGTGCTGGAAATTCCACCCTCTCCTTGCACTCAAGTTCCACCCCACCCTCAGAGCCTCTCTAAAGAAATCCCCTGGGTTCAAAATACTATTGTGGCACCTAAAAAGAAATATTGCACCGAAGTTCCTGCTGTTTTTTAAATTATATGTTGAACCTCTCTAGTCCGGCACCCTCAGAACCTGACCGGTGCCGAACCAGAGAGTGTGCCGACCATGGGAGGTTGGTGTTGTCTAGCAGCATCACCAGCACTTCCCCCACTTGCAGGGCTCTTAGAAGACAATGTGGGGTAAATTAGAGCTAAATAACAGCCCAGACCACTGAGAGCCAGGACTGGAGTCTGTAAACAAACTTTATGGGTCTATGGGAAACTTGGCCATCCCCATGATAAGCAGACATCCGGCGAACTCAGTTCATGCTGGACTACGAGTGTTGCTGGACCAGAGAGTGCCGGATTAGGGAGGTTCAACTTGTATCACTCATCTAAAACCATTGTAAGCTTATGTCTCACTATGGGATACCCACCACTGGGACTTGTGGGCAGAGACGTCAGAGGGGTTGGATGAAATCTTCAATATCTTCATCAACGATTTAGATGATGGCATAGAGAGTATGATTATTAAGTTTTCAGGTGATCCCAAGCTGAGAGGGGTTGCAAGTGCTTTGGACAATAGGGTCAAAATTCAAAATGATCTGGACAAACTGGAGAAATGGTCTGCGCTAAACAGGATGACGTTTAATAAGGACATGTGCAAAGTGCTCCACTTAGGAAGGAACAATTAGTTTCACACACAGAGAATGGGAAGTGACTGTCTAGGAAGGAGCATGGCAGAAAGGGATCGAGGGGTCATAGTGGATCACAAGTTAAACATGATTCAACAGTGTGATTCTCTTGCATAAAAAGCCAACATGACTTTGGGTTCTATGAACAGGAATGTTGTGAGCAAGATGTGAGGAGTCATTCTTCTGCTCTACTCTGCGCTGATCTGTCCTGTTCAGGGCACCACATTTCAAGACAGATGTGGAGAAATTGGAGAAGGTCTGGAGAAGAGCAACAAGGATGATGAAAGGTCTAGAGAACATGACCTGTGAGGGAAGACTGAAACAATTGGGCTTGTTTAGTTTGGAAAAGAGAAGACTGAGAGGGGACATGAGAGCAGTTTTCAAGCATCTAAAAGGGTGTTACAAGGAAGAGGGAGGAAAATTGTTCTCCTTGACCTCTGAGGACAGGACAAGAAGCGGTGGGCTTAAACTGCAGCAAGGGAGGTTTAGGCTGGACAGTAGGAAAAATTTCCTGTCAGGGTGGTGAAACACTGGAATAAATTGCCTAGGGGGGTTGTGGAATCTCCATCTCTGGAGATATTTAAGAGCCAGTTGGATAGACATCTATCAGGGATGATCTAGAAAGTGCTTGGTGCTCTTGCCGCGAAGGCAGGGGGCTGGATTTGATGACCTCTCGAGGTCCCTTCCAGTTCTAGTCTATTCTGGAGTGGGTGCCTGAAGCAAGGTATAGCAATATTGTTTCACAAATATTCACTTTACAAACTCTACGTGTAAATAAAGCTGAAGACAGTAGATTGTGGCAGACAAAGGCTGCGATCTGTCTATATCCCCTAATTAACACACGTGACCCCGTAAAGGTGAGCCATGTTTTTAAAACAGTTTTAAAAACAAATGAATATCCCATAGACTCATTCATCCTGGCAGGGGTGTCAATGAATCACTGGAGCCTTTTTTAAACAAGTCAGCCTAGCCCTTGTGTGTACAGTCACATGCTGGAGCCATTTACAAACCCGCCTGGGAGAAGAGGTGTTACAAGATGTCCGGGGGCAGCAGAGCCCTAGCAGGGAGGTTTTTCCCTTTTTCCCTCTGCCCGTTGCACACATTCGTGAGTTGCACATATTTCTGGGAATCAGTTGGACTCTTTCTCAATAATGAAACCAGCTCCATCACAATGCTACCAGTTTCCCCTCCTGAGACAAGCTGGACATGTGAAAGATGGAGACTGAACTCCTCCTCCCGAATGAGGAAGGTTTTCAGCACTGTGCACAGAAAAACATTGATCCTTCTTCCAAGTGCACGACATGCCGGAGATAGCCCAGTGCACCCCATGAGAGACACTACAAGCTTTTATTTGGGGCAGGATCATTTCCTACTCAATGGCAGACAGAGGGCTAGTCAGGCGTGGCTACTGGCATTAACCAAACAACATAAAGCTCAGGATTAAAATGAGCAAACCTCTGCCAAGCAAATCTGAAAACATGCATCAGTCTTCAGTCTGGAGTCAATGCAGGGACCCCACACAAGCTGGATGTGACTTTGAGACTCAGAGCTGCACCCGGGGAGTCGGGGGGCCCCGCAGGGAAAATTCTCACATGCAAAGGGATGGGAAAGTGTCCCTCAGATCAGAAGGCTGGGCCATGCTGATAACAAGATCCGGCAGGAAAACCAGGTGTCATTACAATGATGCCCTTCCCAGCATCCTTCTCCTTCTGAATTCCCTCCCACGCCATAGTCCTCCCTTTTATTTTAGAAAATCAGAACATAAGCATGGCCAGATGGGTCAGACCAAAGGTCCGTCTAGCCCAGTGTCCTGTCAGCCCACAGTGGCCGATGCCAAGTACCCTGGAGGGAGTGAACAGAACAGAGAATCATCAAGTGATCCCTCCCCTGTCTGCTGACACACAGAGGCCAGGGACACCACCCTTGCCCAGCCTGGCTAACAGCCGTCGATGGACCTAACCTCCATGAATGTATCTAGTTGTTTTTGAATCCTGTTAAAGTCCTGGTCTTCACAACATCCTCTGGCAAGGAGTTCCACAGGTTGACTGTGTGTTGTGTGAAGAAATACTGCCTTTTATTTGTTTTAAATCTCCTACCTATTAATTTCAATTGTAATTAAGTTATTGTGTTATGGGAACAAGTAAATAATTTTTCCTTATTTACTTTCTCCACACCACTCGTGATTTAATAGACCTCTATCATATCCCCCCTTCATCTCCTCTTTTCCAAGATAAAAAGTCCCATCATGTTAACTTCTTCTCACATGGCAGCTGTTCCAAATCCCTAATCATTTTTTGTGCCTTTTTTAGAACTTTGTCTAGTGCCAAGATATCTTTTTTGAGATAAGGTAACCACATCTTCAAGCAGCATTCAGGATGTGGCTGGATACATAGAGTGGCAATAAGGTATTCTCTGCCTTCTTCTCTGTCCCTTTTTAATGGTTCCCACCGTGCTGTTTGCTTGTTGGACTGCCGCTGCACACTGAATGGATGCTTTCCGAGAACAATCCACAATGGCTCCAGTTGTTCTCTCTTGAGCGGGAACGGCTAATTTAGTCCCCATCACATTTTGTACGTAGAGTTGGGATTGTGTTTTCCAATGCGCGTCACTTTGCATTATCAACATTAAAATTCATCTGCTATTTTGTTGCCCAGTCAGCTAGTTTTGTGAGATCCCTTTGAAGCTCTTCACAGTCTGCTTTGGACTTCACTAGCTTGAGCAGTTTTGTATCCTCTGCAAATTTTGCTTCCTCCTTGTTAGCCCCTTTCTGCAGATCATCTCTGAACGTGTTGACTAGGATTTGGGTAGTGTCCTTTCACATCGTTTGGGAGCCGTCTAGGAATATTCACTGTGCTCGGGACTTGGGGATGAGCGGGCATGCTGTGGATGGGCATGCTCAGTGGGCCTGTGGGTCTCTTCGTGTCCTTGTTGTGAAAGGAGCGGAGGGCCCTGGGATGTGTTCTGAGGAGCGGATGCAGAAGGACCTGGTGTAAACATTGCAATAGGGCATGAAACAACTGTGGTCACGGCAGCCCTTCCTCTTCGGGTACTGGTGAAGTAACCAAGCTGCACACAGGGCGTTATTATGACTCAGGATTTCAGCCCTTTGCTGCTACTCAGTTTTTCCTACTGTCAGCACACCCTGACATCAGCTGCCCGCTGGGCTGGAAATTCCTCTGCGATCACCCCTGAGCGCCTATAAAAGGCAGACTGCCCTAGCATTCGGCATCACTCAGCACAGGCTTCAAGGGTCCCTGCTCTGCTTCTGCTCCTGCTCCTGACGCTCACCCTCACCCGACAGCGACATGAAGGTCTCCGTGGCTGCCCTCGCCGTCCTGCTCATCGCGGCCTTCTGCTCCCAGGCCTCCTCCGCCCCAAGTGAGTCCAGCCTCTCCCCTCTCTCCCAGCGTTTCCCTCCAGGAGAAATGTCCTGGCCATGAGATGGCTCTTTCTTAGGGACCTTTCCCACACGAGACCAGGCGCCAGCAGGGTCTCGGTGGCCTGGGCAGGGCGAGGAGCTCTCTTCAGGGCAGGGGTGGGGTCGGCCCAGCAGGGTGACTAAAAGCTGGTGTGAACTTTCAGGCCTGTGTGTGTCCAGGGATGAGGGAAGGAAACTTTGAAGGAAAAATCTCCCCCATTTCCCGTCTTCCTTCACCCTCCCTCGACCCAACCCCCTACCGCTGGCAGTCTTCCCCTCGGGCTGTGGGAGGGGCTTTTTGCTGCACATCGCTCGGCACATGCTCATGTTTGCTGTCTCCATTTCTCAGTTGGCTCCGACCCCCCGACTGCCTGCTGCTTTACCTACGCCTCTCGGAAGATCCCGCGCACCTTGGTGGAGGATTATTATGATACCAACAGCATGTGCTCCCAGCCTGCCATTGTGTAAGTGCAAACTGCATCCCCAAGACAGAGATTTTTTTTGTCCCATCCCCCTCCCTCCCCCCCAGCGACTGGCCTGGAAGATTTCTTACAACCCACTGAATGTAGGCTCCATGAAGAAGATACTTGGCCCGTCCATGCAGGAGGCCACACTCAACGATCAGACAGCTGTGCTGACCTCCAGACTCTTTGCTCAGGTCCTCAGCTGCTATAAGTCAGCTCAGCTGTGTGGTCGGCTGGAGCTGGCTTGTGGCCTATGATCTAAAAGTCTATTTGCCGGATACCTCACTTGGGGTACGTCTAGACGACAGCCTTTTGTCGACAGAAGTTTTGTCAACAGATACTGTCGACAAAGCTTCTATCGACAAAGAACGTCTAGACTACATCCAGTTCTGTCGACAAAGCAAGCTGCTTTTTCGACATGACAGTGTAGACACAAAGGACAGTGTAGATGCAATAACACCTTCTGTCGACAGAACTCTGTCGAAAAAAAGGCGTTATTCCTCGTAGAATGAGGTTTACCGCCGTTGACAAAACTGCTGAGTTCTGTCGATGTTATGTTGACAGAACTCAACAGCAGTGTAGACACAGGTATAGTTTTGTCGACAAAAGTCCACTTTTGTCGACAAAACCCTGTAGTCTAGTCACACCCTGTCGACAGAAGGCGTTATGCCTCGTAAAATGAGGTTTACCAGCGTCGACAAAACTGCTGAGTTCTGTCGACGTTATGTCGACAGAACTCAGCGGTAGTGTACACGCAGATATAGTTTTGTCGACAAAAGTCCACTTTTGTCGACAAAACTCTGTAGTCTAGACACACCCTAGGAGTCTCTCAGTCTCTGCAAAGCAAGGACCTAGCCAGACACAGAGACAGGAAGGGAACCCCAGATAGGCCCTTGGTGAAGCGGACAGACTAGATGTGTGATTTCTACGGTAGCCATTATTATTATTCATAAATAAATGTTTGACGTGTAGCTCAAGTCAGGTAGCATGAGGCTCGGCACTGCGGACGTCTCACTGTCAGAAGTGATGGAGACACTCAGAGTACGGGCGGATGGACGGGGGGCTCCTGCGGCCTTTGGGGGAAAATCACTGCAGTGTTTTGAAAATCTCCCCTAATGCCGAGGATCTGGCTGGGGCTGAGGCTGGAGAGAGGAGAGGCTTGGAGTGGGGACAAGTGGTCACTCCACACGCACCAGTCCCCTTGTTCTAACCCAAATGTTTTACATCCTGCAGCTTCATCACAAAGAAGGGCCGGGAGATCTGTGCCAACCCCCAGGCGGACTGGGTCCAGGAGTATGTGGCTTACTTGGATCAGAACTGAGCGGAGCAGAGGACAGACCAGGGACCGAGCCTCACCCGGCAACGAAAGTGGGAACGTCCCAAGGCAGCTTCCTGCCGGTGCCACTTGCTGACTTAACGAAACAAACTCTGAATGTATTTATTATTATTTCAAGCTATTTAAGATATTTAATTTGTACTTAAGCTGAGCTACACAGTGTACTGTGCGTTTGGGGGCTCAGGGGCAACCATTATTTAATATATTGCATATTGAACGCAACGGTTCCTGTAATGCTGAGTGATGTGATTGGATGCACTGTTCAATGTAGATGGTGAAGAATAAATATTTTTATAAGACTGTCCCGGGTTTACCTATTTGTGCGTTTGGCTCCTCTGGGGGACAGGCAGATCTTACTGTTAACAAAGAAGTAGCTTTGTCATTTATCAGTTAGCTTGCCCATGTGGGATAAGAAAACAACAAGTGTGACCCCCTTTTTCCTCCCCGGGTTCCTCGGGAGCAGGTCACACTCACAAGTGGGCCTGGGCACCAGATGGTTTTAACATGAAAGGAGATCCTGAGCACCCCAGGGGTGATGTTGTTTAGTTGGGGATTCCCTCCCCACCCCCTTGCTGCAGTTCCTGGCTCATAAAGAATATACAGTGGTGGTGCCTCCACCTGGCTGGCCCTGTACACACTTTATGGTGTGCCTTGGGAGCCTCCAAGAATAAACTTATTCCAGTAACAATCTGGATCTAACTCCAAAACAACAATTGTAAATAATAGACATCGAACTGATGACATTAAAATGAACACAACTTTACTGAACAACTTAAAGAAACAGTGAATAAAATCAATTAACAAAGTACGCAGAAGTAATAGGAACTTATCTAGCTGGCATTTGCACTGCTGCCAACTGTCCCACCCCAGAGCGTGCCCTCCTCTGGACTCAGAGGCCCAGACACTTGCTTGCTTGGGCGCTCTTGAAGATCTGCAGCTGGAGTGGAGGTTCTCTGTAGGTTCTGTGTGCGAGTCCAAGCTGTGCAGCCAGCTGCAAACTCCCTCTGCCACTGGAGCAGGCTCCACCAAATGCCAGCAGCTCTGGTTCCCTGGGTTGGACACTCTGCCTCTCTTTGGACTCAGAGTTAGTCTATATCTCTGAGGTCTGTCCCAGGCAGCACTTTCCCAAAGAGCCCAGTTACTTACAGCCTCCTCCCGTGGTTGGTTGTTGTTGTGACGACGCGTTGGGGGTCCCCCGCCTCCTGCACCCCCGGAATGGCACGAACAGCCTCCCCCAGCCAGTAGAATAGAGGTGGTTTATTGCTTCTCCAGGATACAGCACAGCACAGATGTCATCAGGTTACAGGGCAGGCCTAGGATGCCTCAGCCCCGCTTGAGATGGGGGGGGTCTTGGCTTCTAACCCCCCCAGCCTGTTGCTGAGGCTGCTTCCTCCATCCTCCCAGACAGAAACTAAACTAACTCTCCTCCAGCCCTGCCCCCCAGCCAGGGAAGCATCCACCTTCCTTTGTTCCTCTCCATGGGGGTTAGCTGGTCGGATTGGTTGAGAGATCCCTTAGCATAATGACCCATCCCTGTCCTCCTGGGCTGTGGTACCGGTGGCAGCCAGTGGGGTGGCTGAGGCCAGGCGGGCAGTCTGGGCAGCAAGGCCTCCCCCACCAAGGACTGGGCAGGCCGCTTTGTACTAACGAGCCCTTTGGCCTAGCAAAGAAAGTAAATTAGAAATGAGGCACAAGCAGGGGCGGTGGGGACAAGAGGCAGGGGGAGGCGTTGCCTTCCCACACTGCCCAGCTGGCCCCGCCCACACTGCGCCCCCAGCCTCCGCACCCCATGCAGATGTGACATAGTGGGGGTACCTGGCTGGTTTCTATGCTGCTGGCTCTGGGGTAACCCCCACTGGCTGCCGTGGGTACCACGGCCCAGCAAAACAGGATGAGTCACTATGCAAAGGTACCTCTCAACCTGTCTGACCAGACACCCCCCATGGAGCGGAACAAAGGAAGGTGGAATGCTGCCCTGGCTGGGGGGCAGGGCTGGAAGAGAGTTGGTTAGTTCCTGTCTGGAAAGCAGGGGAGAAGGAGCTGGGGAGGGGGGCTGGGACTCCCCCACCTCAAGGGGGCACTGAGGCCTCTTAGCCCCAGTTCCTGTAACCAGCTTACATCTGTGCTGTGCTGTATCCTGGAGAAGCAATAAACTACCTCCATTCTACTGGCTGGGGGGGGCTGTTCGTGCCATTTCGGGGTGCAGGAGACGGGGACCCCAACATGTCGTCACAGCAGAACAGTGTCCCACCAAGCTAGGGCTGTGCTGCCAGCCCTCCCCATGGCCTGGGGAAAGCTGGGGCTGCACACCAACTGGCTGGGGGAGGAGGGGGAACTGGGGCCATGCACCTCGGGGGCTCCCGTGGGGGCCCTGAGTGATGGGGGCAGGGCCTCAGAGAGAAGGGGTGGGGCTGGGGGCTGGCCTACCCAACCCTAGGTTCACCCTCTGCCCATGGGTGACACGGAGGGTGATTGGCCCCTGGACCAAAGCCCAAGGGTATGTCAGGTTCCCCACAGCTCTCTGCAAACCAAGCATGGACCCCTCACTGCAAGAAATGCTTCAGCCAGACACGCTGGGGACAACACCAGGGCACTGGGGAATCGCACGGCCGGTGTTACCTGGCGGAACACACTAGGTCACATGACTGGCCCCCCACCTGTAACTCTGTGCCCCACCCTCTATGTCTCCAAAGGATCTTCAGCCGCAAGGTCTTCGGGACCCGGGGCTCTTCCAGACCTGCCACGAGAACAGTCCAGCGAGTTCAGACATTTGGGGCAAGACTGCATGGAAACTTTTTAAAGACACCATAATAGAGGCCCAACTTAAATGTATACCCCAAATTAAAAAACATAGTAAGAGACCTAAAAAAGAGTCACCGTGGCTTAACCACCATGTAAAAGAAGCAGTGAGGGACAAAAAGGCATCTTTCAAGAAGTGGAAGTCCAATCCTAGTGAGATAAATAGAAAGGAACATAAACACTGTCAAATCAAGTGTAAACATGTAATAAGAAAAGCAAAAAAAGATTTTGAGGAACAGCTAGCCAAAAACTCAAAAAGCAATAGCAAAGTGTTTCTAAAGTACATTAGAAGCAGGAAGCCTGCTAAAAACCCTGTGGGTCCCCTAGATGATCAAGCTATAAAAGGAGCAAGAAAGGACGATAAAGCCATTGCAGAGAAACTAAATGATTTCTTTGCTTCAGTCTTCACGGCTGAGGACGTTGGGGAGATTCCCGAATCTGCACCGTCCTTTGTGGGTGATGAATCTGAGGAACTGTCCCAGATTGAAGTGTCATTAGAGAACTGTCTCGGATTGAAGTGTCATTAGAGGAGGTTTTGGAACAAATAGAAACGTTTAATGTTAACAAATCTCCGGGACCGGATGGCATTCATCCAGAGGTTCTAAAAGAACTCAAATGGGAAATTGCTGAGCTATTATCTGTGGTTTGTAACCTACCCTTTAAATCGGCTTCCGTACCTAATGACTGGAAGGTAGCCAACGTGACACCAATATTTAAAAAGGGCTCTAGAGGCAATCCTGGTAATTACAGACCGGTAAGTCTAACTTCAGTACCGGGCAAATTAGTCGAAATAATAGTAAAGAATAAAATTGTGAACCATGTAGAAGAACATAATTTGTTGGACAAAAGTCAACATGGTTTCTGTAAAGGGAAATCCTGTTTTACTAATCTGTTAGAGTTCTTTGAAGGGGTTAACAAACATGATGTGGGCATACCAGTTTTATACAGGGGCAGTAAGATATTCTGGGTCTTAATTTCTATCCCTTTCTTAATAATTCCTAGCATCCTATTTGCATTTTTGACTGCCATAGCACACTGTGTGGAAGTTTTCAGAGAACTATCCATGATAACTCCAAGATCTCTTTCCTGATTTGTCATAGCCAAATTAGCCCCCATGGGGTATGTCTACACTACAGCACTAATTCAGACTAACTTAATTTGAATTAGTTAATTCGAACTAAGCTAATTCGAACTAGTGCATCTAGACCTAAAAACTAGTTCGAATTAGCGTTTTGCTAATTCGAACTAGCATGTCCACATAATAGAATCTTCCCATAATAGAAGAACTAGAGGACACCAAATGAAATTAATGGGTAGCAGGTTTAAAACTAATAAAAGAATGTTCTTCTTCACACAGCACGTAGTCAACCTGTGGAACTCCTTGCTGCAGGAGGCTGTGAAGGCTAGGACTATAACAGAGTTTAAAGAGAAGCTAGATAAGTTAATGGAGGTTAGGTCCATAAAAGGCTATTAGCCAAGGGATAGAAATGGTGTCCCTGGCCTCTTTTTGTCAGAGGCTGGAGAGGGATGGCACGAGTCAAATCACTTGATCATTGTCTTTGGTCCACCCCCTCTGGGGCACCTGGTGTTGGCCGCTGTCGGCAGACAGGCTATTGGGCTAGATGGACCTTTGGTCAGACCCAGTACGGCCGTTCTTATGTTCTTGTGACCTGCCCCATGCAGAAAATGCACCAAGGGGCATCCATGCAACACAACGGTCAGCGAGCGCCCCAGGTGGAGTAGCAGCACAGTGAGGGGTCCTGCCCAGAGCTCTGTGGGCCTCGAGACACTTACAGGGCAGGTTGTGACTTCTAGGAACCCCGGGCCAGCCGTGAGATGGGAGCTCTGCCCTGGTCAGCCCCTCACTTCCTCCATTTCCGCCCTCCCTCCTGCCGCATCACAGGCCAGTGCTCGCTGCACTTCCCTCCCCTCGCCTGCCGTGAAAGCACAGCACTTCCCCTTGTGCTAGGGGAGCAGAGCCCTGGGCTCAGAGCTGGGGGGATGTCAGGTTCTGCTTTGGCCCAGCTCCACTTCTCTTCCGGCCTGGCCTCCACCTGATAGGAACATGGAAGTGTCTGGGGCTGCCGGCCCCGTTCTCCATCCGTGCTGCCATCTCCTCCCAGCCTCTTCTGGGAGACTAGGAGACTCCTCCTGCCTCCGCGCCCTGCACCAGCACCCAGGAGGGAGGAGGAGGAAGGAGGCTGCCTGACTGCTGTGTGGAGGTGGGGAGGGGACAGAGAAGGGATGCCACCGATGCCGGGGGACAAGCAAAAGCGGGGGGAAGGGCCCACGGTAGCAGTGGGTGCTGAGTCATGTGAGCGTGATAAAGTACGTCAGAGTTCATTCCAAACAACTCATGTCTGCAATGTGGGTAGTCAGACCCAGTGGCCAGAGCTGGCATCAGAGGCAGAATTAGGAGCCAAGGGGGGAGTGAGGCTGAAGTAGGGTTGGGGCAAAGCCACTGGCCTAAAAC